AACGTCCGAGCCCGGTGGTCGATCCGTGCTGGGCCTGCGGTTCCTGGGGGCTCCAGCCAAGCCTCCCATGGTCAGGGCCGACATGGTGACTGAGAAGCAGGCGAGGGAACTGGGCATGCCCCAGGGCCCCGGGACTGGAGCGTAAGCTGGGGCTGGACCTGGGGCTGGAGAAGGCCTGTCAAAGTAATAGAAATAAGAGCAGCCTGGGGACCAGTAGATGGCATAATGGTTACGTCACTGAACTCCCATGTAGTTGACCACGGTTTGAGTCCCGGACTTGGCTGCTTAAAGTGCACGCTGGGCGCATGTGTGTGCATGCCCAAGATCCCAAGAGGAGAATGGAGAAGGGATTACAGCATGGCTATCCACCCTGGGGGTGTGATTTCTCTCTTTCTGTCTTTCTGTCTCTCTGGTGAGCCCATGTGCCCTATAACAACAACAACAAAAAAAAGCCAGAGCGCCTGGCAGGGCTGGCACCACAAAGAGTAGGGTGACGGGGAAGGGTGCCATGGGGTGAGGAGGCACTGACTGGTCAAGGCAGAGAAAGGGGAGGGGCCCACTGAGGGCTGGAGTAGGTGGGGACATTGGGATTTTGCCAAGATGGGGACCCCTCTCTTAACCCTAAGCAGCAGGGGGGCTGGCAAGTGGCATAGTGGATAAAGGCACTGGATTCCCACATGGTTCAAGTCCCAGACCTGGTGGCCTGCTTTCTCTCTCTCTGTCTCTCTCTGATCAAATTAAAAAATAATAATAACAAATGGAATTAAATAAATAATTAAAAAAAAAAAAGACCCTAAGCAGGGACACAGATTTAGGGCCAGTGACAGTGGGTGGTCTACAAATCCTCCCATGGACTCAAGCTGGGATGAGCTTTTTCACACTGACCTCCCCTGGCAGAGAAAGCACTGGAGAAATCATCAACAACACCGTGCCCCTGGAGAACAGCATTCCGGGGAACTGCTGCTCTGCCCTGTTCAAGAACCTGGTGAGGCCTTCAGGGTGTGGTGGGTAGGGAGGGTGGGGCGGGGGTCCTCAGACTCTGGGACAGTCTTGGAGAGGATGTCTGGGAGCGCTCACACCCTCACCCTTGTTCTCCCTCACCCCACCCGGCCCTGCAGCTTCTGAAGAAAATCAAGCGTTGTGAGCGAAAGGGGACCGAGTCTGTCACCGAGGAGAAGTGTGCTGTGCTCTTCTCCACCAGCTTCACGCTTGGCCCCAACAAACAACCTGTCCAGCTCCAGGTGAGCCTCAGCTCCAGCCGTGCCCCAGTCTGGGAGCCCCAAACCTCTGCCATGTCACACACTGCCCCCCCCAATCCTCATCCCTTGGGACTGCCCCTACCCAGGTGTCTGGCATTATGCACACTGGGGTCTGGGTGAGTTGGGAGGAGCAGGGGGACAGCGTGCACATACAGTAGTGTGTAGCAACTCTATTAAACACTTTCGTAGACCAGGGTGCTCTTGATGAATGACACACACACACACACACACACACACACACACACACAGACGCAGAGTTTGGTTTTCACAACAGCATTATGAGGTAGGTACTATTTCCTCATTTTATAGATAAAGACTTTGAGGCACAGAGAGATGTAGTTTGCTCAAGTCACGCAGCTCCTGAGTGTTGGAGCTGGTATATGAAAACTGGAAGTCTGGCCCCATTCACTGAATTGCCTTTCTGTAGTAAGGCCCCGACTGAGTTTCAGATAGCATTTAATAACATGCCACAGGCTTTGTTCCATGAGACCAGTTTAGTTCACTTCCCTCACACTGGGAACCAGCCCCCTGGGGAAACCTCTCACTCCACTGAGAAGAAAGCCTTCTCCTACCCTCTTCAGGCCCTGTCTCTGCCCCTGGTGGTCATTGTCCATGGCAACCAAGACAACAATGCCAAAGCCACCATCCTGTGGGACAACGCCTTCTCTGAGATGGTAAGGAAAGACCCGGAGTGGGACGATGGGGCAGGTGGGTTGTAACGTGGGGAATGTGGAGGCTGGAGGTGGCTGGCGTGCTTGAATATATGTGCCCTCACCTCCTTCTCCTGGGCCTGCTTCCATCCTTGTCTTAATAACCACCATGGTGCAACGCCATACACCACTGTTCAGTCAGCCCTATAGTACAATAGTTAAGTGTTGTGTATAAAAAGCTGGATCCTGGGACCAGCAGTTAGCATAATGGCTATGTTGCTGGACTCCCATGTATTCGACCACGGTTCGTGTCCTGGACCCGGTGGCTTAAAACTCACACCGGGCGTGTGTGTGTGCGTGCCTAAGATCCCGAAAGGAGAATGGAGGAGAAGGGATTGCATCGTGGCCATCACCCATGGGGGGTGATTTCTCGCTTTCTGTCTCTTTGTCTCTCTCCCTCTGTCTGGAGAGCGCACATGCCCTACAGCAAAAACCTCCCCCCCCCCCAAAAAAAAAGCTGAATCCCACATGACTGACTGTGGTTCAAATCCCAGCCCCGTGGCTCAAAAAATATGCCAGGCAATAAAAATAAATAAATAAATAGAGCTAGCAGATGGCGTGGAGGTTAAGGTGACTGGATCCCACATAACTGGATATGAGCATGAAAACACACCAGGAACATGTGTGTGCCCAATCTCCTGAGAGGAGAATGGATTGTGGTGTGGCCATCCCCCCTGGGGGGGAATTTTCTCTGTCTCCAGTGAACACACAATAACTAACTAACCACATAAATTGAATTAAATAAATAAATTTAAAATAAAAAGCACCATGTTTGGGAGCAAGCTCAGATGGATAGGCCTGGGGAGATGGGAAGGACAGAGGCCTCCCTGAGGTAGATTGAGGTGATAACCCAAGGTGTTTTCTCCTTCTTCTTCCCTTCCAGGACCGTGTGCCTTTTGTGGTGGCTGAGCGGGTGCCCTGGGAGAAGATGTGTGAAACTCTGAACCTCAAGTTCATGGCTGAGGTGGGGACAAACCGGGGGCTGCTCCCAGAGCACTTCCTCTTCCTGGCCCAGAAAATCTTCAATGACAACAGCCTCAGCATGGAGGCATTCCAGCACCGTTCTGTTTCCTGGTCACAGTTCAACAAGGTTATTCCCCTGTCCTTCGCACTCTCAGCCCCAAGCTCTTCGTCCCCAGGGCACTCAGGGTATCCTCAAGCTCAGCCCGGGGACTGACCACTGGGATCTTCACAATGCCCCCTCTCTTCACTAGGAAGGCCTCTGTCTTGGCCTCGGCAGGAAACCCCCTGAGCAGTGGGAGTCAGTCAGAGTATGCATCCTCTGGCATCCTTTGGTTTGCGTCTGGGGGCTCTCTGTTCTTCCCCTTTACCAGTGACTTGCATGACTCTTTCAGGTTATATGTAAACAGAGCTCTGATTCAAAATGACTTTGACCCATTGGGAAAAGAGTTCCTATTGCAAAAACCAGAGGAAATCCCACGGGAACATATGCTATACTGTCCCCCTTCCCACGTGTGGAGAGCTTACTCCATGCCACATGCCATGTTAGCACTTCATACATGTTATCTCCAGGAATCCTCCCAACAGCTCTGAGAAGGGTACTTCTATTATCCCCATTTCACAGGATGCTCAGAGGGGTAAAGTAGTTTGCCCAGTGAGAGGACTTAAAAAAATTCGTGGAGGGCTTAATAGTGGTACAGCAGTGAAGCTCAAAGCTCTGCAAGGCTGACCCACGTGGGAAGGTTGCAGCTTTGCCTCCAGAGACCTTCCTGGGTACACTGGGCATGCACTTGCCCAGGATCTGTGGCTGGCTGAGGCTGGGAGTGGATGGTAGTAGCAAGATCCTCTTGAGAGTGCTGTCTCTCTCCCTTTCTCTCTGACTCTTTCACTTATGGCAGAAATAAATAAACTTCTAAAAAGTTGGTGGCAAAATAGAATTAAAATACAAGTTTGTTGTAGTGCATAACATTTCAAAATCCAGCATTTTTTTTTTTCAAAATACGCACTTTCTGTAAACTCTTTGAAGACCCCTCATATCTCTGACTGTTGCTTTGCAGTGGTATATATCATTTACATTTATATTTACCTCCAGATTAAGGTGACTCAGGGCGGGGTTGGACACAAGAACAGGAGCAAAAGGGGATCGGGTGTCTTGGCTGAGAACTAGCTGGGTAAACAAAAGTCACGCAAGGAAGTAAGAAAAGCCCAGGTGACCGGAGGATGTGTTAGCAAAGGGAGCAGGACAGTCACAGCCAGCAGGCCACCTCCCTCTGCCAGTGTCTGCTAGGGAGAGGATGTAGCACAGTGATTACACGCGGCTCCAGCACCAGAGTGCCTGGGCTGAATCTCGATTCTGCCTCTTACCAGCTGTATAGACCTGGCTATGTCATTGGTCTTTTTGGGCTTCCCTTTCTTCACCTGTAAGATGGGATTATTATAAGACCTACCAACACAGGCCTATAAATATCAAGCGAATTAATACATAGAAAAGCTTAGGGTAGTGCCTGGCTCATGGTACGCATGAGTGTTGGCTGTTTTTTAGTTTAGTTTTGTTTTTTAAGAGATTTTTGCTGTAGGGTCCATGAGCTTGCCAGAGAGGCAGAGAGAGACAGAGAGACAGAAAGTGAAAAAAAAAAAAATCACCCCCCAGGGGGGTATGGCCATGTCCAAATCTCTTCTCCATTCTCCTCTTTCTTTTTTTGGGGGGGAGAGATTTTCGCTATAGGCCGCGTGCGCTCGCCAGACAGACAGAGAGAAACATTAGAGACAGAAAGCGAGAAATCACCCCCAGGGGGGATGGTCACGCTGCAATCCCTTCTCCTCCATTCTCCTCTCGGGATCTTGGGCACACACGCACACATGCCCGGCGTGAGTTTTAAGCCACTGGGTCCGGGACACGAACCGCGGTTGACTATGTGGGAGTCCAACGACATAGCCATTATGCTAACTGCTAGTTCCCTCCATTCTCCTCTTGAGATCTTGGGCATGCAGGCACATTCACCTGGCATGTTTTAAGTCACCAGGTTCGAACTGAGCCTGGCCAATTATGTGGGAGTCCAGCAATGTAAACATTATGCCATCTGCTGGTACCTGGCTGTTTTTTAAAAAATTTACTTATTAATGTTTTTATCACATGTTTTTACAGTATACATTTCTTTCCCAACACAAATACCATGCATGTCAGTCAAGACAAGGATATTAGTATATACATTATTGTCAGCAAATATCTTTTCATTTTTTGTCAAGCATACTTTTTTTAACCAATTTTTTCTTTCCCTTTTCCCTTTCTTCCCTCCCATACTAAACTTTTTTTTTTCATATTTTGATTCATAAAAGATCATAAAATATGGACAAAGCTAGAAGCTAGTGACAAGTACACTGTAATTTTCTTCTGAAACTTTTTTTTCTCTCTCCATTCCCCCTAAAGAAAGGTATAAACTAACTTACTTGCAAATAAAAAAAATAGGTTAATCTCAATTTGGTCTCTTATTTGCACAAAGTCCCAGAAGAATTAAATTTCTTTCTTCTTTTAAAAATAATTATTTTATTTAACTTTATCCATCTATCTATCCATTTATTTAATTTGACCAGAGAGGGACAGACAAAGAGAGAGAATGAGAGAGAGAGAGAGAGAGGGAAAGTGAGAAAGCAAGCCACCAGGTCTGGGACCTGGACCTCGGTCAGCCATGTGAGAATCCAGCATCCTTAACCACCACGCCACCTGCCAGCTCCAAAGAATTCAATTTTGATGCAAGGCAACAAATACTATTGTATTACTGAACTTATGCAAATAACCATTCAGCCACAAAAATAAGAATGTTCACAAATATTTTCCAGTTGCAAAGGGGTCAAGAAGTGAGAAAATTCCATGTTTCAATTTAAAAAATTCTTTTTTTTAAAAACAAATTGCTGAACCCAACAACTCAAAAAAAAAAAAAAAAAAAAAAACCCCACAAAAACCTTAAAATGTCAAAGAGTAGAAGAAAATCAGTAATGTTTTAGAAAAAAGTCATAGAATTCTATTCTGTCAGTTCAGTCTCGTGTAATCTCTCTTGTGTTGAATTTGCAGTGTTACTGTGGTCTGACCTTTCCATTAACATTCAGCATTATTACTGAGATTTCAGAACTTGTCCCTATCATTAAGTTGGCCTTTTTCTTGGCCAGCTTTTGTTCTCTTATTTGTCTGTCTGTCTTTAGTTTTCTTGGTACCATACTCCCTTCGGAACTTCTCGAAGAGTTGGTCTGGTGTTGGTAAATTTCTTCAGGTTTAGTTTATCTGAGAGTGTTTTTATCTTTTCTTCCCACATGAAGGATAGTCTTGCCAGATACAGTATTTTTGGTTGAAATTGTTTTTCACTTAACAGTTTGAGTATATTTCCCATTCTTTCCTTGCTTGCATTATTTCCTATGAGAGGTTCGATGTTAGGCTGATGGGATATCCTTTGAAAGTAACTTGATGTTTTGGGACCAGCAGTTAGCGTAATGGCTATGTCGCTGGACTCCCATGTAGTTGACCGTGGTTCACGTCCCAGACCCGGTGGCTTAAAACTCACGCTGGGCACGTGTGCGTGAGTACCTAAGATCCCAAGAGGACAATAGAGAAGGGATTGTGGCATGGCCATCCCCCCTGGGGGGTGATTTCTTGCTTTCTGTCTCTATGTCTCTCTCTGTCTGTCTGGTGAGCGCACATGCCCTATGGCAAAAACCTCTCCAAAAAAAAAATAAATAAATAAATAAATAAAAAGAAAGTAACTTGACGTTTTTCTCTTGCCAATTTTAGTATCTTATCTCTGTCTATGGTTTTGATCAATCTGGCTATGATGTGCCTTGGAGAAGATCTTCTTGGGTTGATTCTGCATGGAGTCCTTTGTATTTTTGGGGTCTGGATATTTGAATGCCTCTCTAGGTTTGGAAAGTTTTCTTTCAGAATTTTATGGAATAGATTATCAATGCTCTGATTAGTTTCTTCACTTTCTGGGATACTGATTATCTAGATGTTTGAGCACCTAATGGTATCTAGTATTACTCGTATATTATTCTCATTTTTGGGGTTATTTTTCTTTCTTTTCTTTTCTTTTCTCTCTCTTTTTTTTTTTTTTTTTTTTTGAGGTTTTTGCTATAGGGCGCGTGCACTTGCCAGACAGACAAAGAGAGACAGAGAGATAGAAAGCAAGAAATCACCCCCTATAGGGGATGGCCATGCCACAATCCCTTCTCCTCCATTCTCTTTTCAGGATCTTGTACAGGCACGCACATATGGCCAGCATGAGTTTAAGCCACCAGGTCTGGGACTCGAACTGCGGTTGACTACATTGGAGTCCAGTGACATAGCCATTATGCTAACTGCTGGTCCCTTTTTGGGTTATTTTTCTCAGTCTTTTTGGTGAATTTTTCTAGGTCAGAAGTTCTATCTTCTACATCTGAGATTTGCGTGATCTAATCTGCTTTTAATACTTTCAAGGGAGGTTTTGATTTCCTGTATTACAGCTTTCACCTCTAATAGTTCTGTTTGATTCTTTTTTATGGTGTGTATTTCCTCTTTCAGATCGTGGAAGAAGTTCCTCTCCTGCCAGAACACGTCTCTTTTCTCCTGCATTTTCTGGAGTTCATTGTTTCTCTTCTCTTGCATCTCTGTTAGCTTTGTCACTATGAATATCCTAAATTCTTTATCTGACATTTCCACAAGTCCCATTGTACTGTCTGTACATGATGAAGGGCTGTTCTTTCCCTTGGAGGAAAGATATTATCTTGATTTCCCATATTTCTTGTGCCTCTGTGGTGGTGATTTCTGGTCACCTGATGGATCATATGTTACTTCCTACCTTCTGGCTTTTCACTGGGTGTAGGACCGGAAGGAGGGGTTTGGAGGAGAAGATTTCCGGTTAAAGGGGCAGGCGTAGGCCCACCTCAAATGCACATGGATTCTGGATTTTCCCTGGGTGTTGGGCAGGAAGGAGGACCCTAGCTATTGTTTTTAAGAAGGTCTTGGGAACCAGCAGTTAGCGTAATGGCTATGTCGCTGGACTCCCACGTAGTCGACCGCGGTTCGCGTCCCGGACCCGGTGGCTTAAAACTCACGCCGGGCGCGTGTGCGTGCGTGTCCAAGATCCCGGGAGGAGAATGGAGGAGAAGGGATTGCGGCGTGACCATCCCCCCTGGGGGGTGATTTCTCGCTTTCTGTCTCTATGTCTCTCTCTGTCTGGCGAGCGCACGCGCCCTATAGTGAAAAAAAAAAAAAAAACTCTCAAAAAAAAGAAGGTCTCAGATCCATTTGGTCCCTCAGCCCTGTGATTTTTGTAGTGTGGACCCTGACAGCCCAGGGCCTGCCCTGACCAGACTCCAGCCCTGGCCCTCCCAACTCATCCCAGTCCCCCATCTTTGTCCCTCACAGGAGATACTGTTGGGCCGTGGCTTCACCTTTTGGCAGTGGTTCGATGGTGTCCTGGACCTCACCAAACGCTGTCTCCGGAGCTACTGGTCAGACCGGTGAGTCCCCATGCCCGAGGTGGCCCAAGAGGCTGTTCCTTTGGCTCCTTCTCCATACCCAGCGCCTACACCCCCATCCTTTCCTTCATCCTGGCCAGGCTGATCATCGGCTTCATCAGCAAACAGTATGTCACTAGCCTTCTTCTCAATAAGCCCGATGGAACTTTCCTCCTCCGCTTCAGTGACTCAGAGATTGGGGGCATCACTATTGCCCACGTCATCCGGGGCCAGGATGGTGAGGTCACCCCAGCTAGTCCTCTGTCTCTGCCTGTGCGCTCCAGGGTTTCTTCTGGGAGGGAAATATCCTATCCTATCCTTCTTTGAAGTCAACCCTGGTCTTCGGGAAGTTCTCCAGATCCTTTTCTTTTCTTCTTTCTGTGGTCTAAACTTTCACCTTCTTATTCGGAGCACTGTAGGAATGGTGACTAGTGAGTCTCCCTTCCTTACGACTCTATGCCAGGACCGCTCTCTCATGCCTTAATGTGAAAATGTGTACTGGGGAGAGGGAAGAAAGCCGGGACAGAGGGGACTCACGGTCTTGTTCCTATCGTAGGCTCCCCGCAGATAGAGAACATCCAGCCATTCTCTGCCAAGGACCTGTCCATTCGCTCACTGGGGGACCGAATCCGGGATCTCGCTCAGCTCAAAAACCTCTATCCCAAGAAACCGAAGGATGAGGCTTTCCGGAGCCACTACAAGCGTGAGCTGGAGCTGGCAGCTCTGATTTCTTCCTGTTACCTACCTCCTCCGTGCTCCTGGCTGCCCTGCTTCCTACCCATCGTGTGTCATCCCTGACTCCTCTCCCCATTTTCATTGCCCAATTTCACCTAGCTCCCCATCCGCCATGCTCACGTTTTCTACCTCCCTTCCTCCTGAGCCCCGGAGCACTCCATGGCTCTCTTTCCTTCCCATAACAGCTGAACAGATGGGTAAGGATGGCAGGGGTTATGTCCCAGCTACCATCAAGATGACTGTGGAAAGGTGAGTACGGTGGTGATGGAGGGTGGGTCCGCAGGCTGACACTCACCTTCGGAAGGAGTGATGGCATCAACCCTTGGTCAGTCACATGTGCCCCTACTCTCTTCCAGGGACCAGCCACTTCCCGCCACAGAGCCCCAGATGCCTACCATGGTGCCCCCTTATGACATTGCGATGACCTCTGAGTCCTCCATGAGCATGCAGCTCAGTCCAGACATGGTGTAAGCGCAGGAGACAGGCATAGGAGTGGTCTGTGCAGATGACTGGGAGAGCTGGCACTGGGAGCTGAAGCAGGGACTTTTCCTTTCCTAAGGCAGGGTGGCAGGGTGACAGAGAAGTGCTGGCTCAGAGGTGCTTCTCTCTTTCTCCAGGTCCCCGGTATACCCATCACACTCTCACTCCATCCCTTCCTATCAAAGCCTCTCCCCAGAAGAATCTGTCAATGTGTTCCCAGCCTTCCAGGAGTAAGTCAAAATCTCTTCCAGGATGGTATGCGAAGGGCCATGGGCATTGGTATTTAGTAGGAGGGGGTCTTCTGTGAAAAGAGGGAGCAAATGCTAACACCCCTTTGTCTCTTCTGACCACTCTACTTGGGGGGGGAGCAGTCGATTAAGATTTAAAGGCCTTGGGGACCAGCAATTAGCGTAATGGCTATGTTGCTGGACTCCCATGTAGTCAACCGCAGTTCGAGTCCCGGACCTGGTGGCCTAAACTCACGCCAGGTGCGTGCGTGTGCATGCCCAAGATCCCGAGAGGAGAGGAGAATGGAGAAGGGATTGCAGCGTGGCCATCCCCCCTGGGGGGTGATTTCTCGCTTTCTATCTCTCTGTCTTTTTCTGTCTGTCTGGCGGGTGCACACGCCCTTTAGCAAAAACCTCTCAAAAAAAAAAAAAAAAAAAAAAAATACAAAGAAAAAAAAAAAAAAAAAAAGATTTAAAGGCCTTGGACTCCCACATGGCCGACCGTGGTCTGAGTCCCAGACCTGGCCGCTCGCTCTCTTTCTCTCTCTCTGGTCAAAATTGAAAAACAATGATAATAAAGAAATAATTCTAAAAAAAAAAAAAAGAGAGAGAGAGAAAATCCAGACTGCCTGGGCTGGAATTCCAGTTCCACCACTGAAGTGATTTTAAGCAAGTTAATTAACCTCTGGTGCCTCATCTGTACAATGGGGGATAATAATGTAATGATAATATCTGCCTCAGGGGATTATTGGGAAGGTTAAGTGAGTTTATGTGCCAAGTTGAACTTACCCTGCTCGTACCCAAAACTGTTAATTATTAGTATGTTCTCTCCTGCCCCTAAAATCCAGTCGCTCTACAGATTTTTTTTTTTGAGAGATTTTTGCTATAGGGTGTATGTGCTTCCTAGACACACACACACACAGAGAGAAATCATCCCCCTGGGGGAGGGCCACACCGCAGTCCTTCTCCATTCTCCTCTTGGGATCTTGGGTGCACACGCGTATACACACACACACCCAGTTTGTTTTTATAATTATTTTATTTAACTTTTAATTTATTTATATACTTTATTTTGATTAGAGAGGGACAGAGTGAGAGAGAGGGAAAGGTTCTAGTTCCAGACCTGGTCAGCCACATGGGAGTTCAGCGCCCTTAACCACCACACCACCTGCCGGCCCCAGCCCAGCCTGAGTTTGAAGCCTCTGGGTTTGGGCCTCGAACAGTGGTTGACCATGTGGGAAACCAGCAACATAACCATTATGCCATCTGCTGAGTCCTGCTCTACTAATTTTTACTTATCCATTTGTGTTAGTGAAATGTTCTGGATATTTTTCCTCCCCACGTAATACTCAGGTGCTTAACTCCTTAGTAAAATCTCATCTCCCCTCCAAGGAGTTGAGATGGGGCTGGGTGTGTGTGTGAGGGGGGACCCAGAATCATCAAAGTTCAGAGTCTAAAGGCTCCACAATTGACTGATCCAACTCCACCCCTTCCACCCGCCCCTCAAGACACACCCATCTTATAGATGATGAGATGGAGCTCAGAGCAGAGGGAAGATCTGGCCAAGGCCCAGATGGGGAGCAGTGGTCAGGCTCAGGAGGCGGAGCTCCTTTCCTCTCTCAGTGGTCCTGACGCAGCCTCCACACACCCCACACGCTCCCCCCCCACACACCTGTGCCAGCTTTCTCCCTTCCTCTGACCACACCCCTCTTCCTGCTTCCAGATCTCACCTGCAGATGCCCCGCAGTCTGGGCCAGATGAACCTGCCCTTTGACCAGTCTCACCCCCAGTGAGTGACAAAGCCCCTCTGAGTCTTGGGGTCCCCATTCTTCCCCATCCTCACCCTGCCCTTCTGCCTCACTTTCCTTTCTGGTTCCTGGCAGGGGCCTACTGCCATGCCAGCCTCAGGAACATGCGGTTTCCACCCCTGAGCCACTGCCCTGCGCAGATGTGACCATGGTTGAAGACAGCTGCCTGAGCCAGCCAGTGGGAGGGTTCCCTCCGGGCTGGTGAGTTGTGGTCTGAGGTGGAGGCTGGGTGGTGGCCAGGACAGGGGCTCCATGCTGACCCCACTGCCTCGTCCTTTTCTTCTTGCAGGATTGGTGAAGACATGTTCCCTCCCCTGATGCCTCCCACTGAGCAAGACCTCACCAAGCTTCTCCTGGAGGGCCAAGGGGAGTCAGGGAGTGGGTCTTTGGGAGCCCAGCCCCTCCTGCAGCCTTCTCCATATGGGCAGTCTGGAATCTCCATGTCCCACCTGGACATAAGGGCCAACCCCAGTTGGTGATCCCAGCTGGAGAGGAGCCCAGAGACAGCTCTTCTACAACCCCATGGCCTGCTCTGGAACACCTGCTCATGTTCCTGCTAAGCCCCAGAGCAAACGGGGAGGATGCCTTCCTATCCCCACCTACTCCTCCATCAGGAGGAGCATGCATGGTGGGTGGAGCCACTCCACTCCTTCCTTCCTACCGCACACCCCTGTCAACCCCCTTCCAACACTGGAAGGAAAGTCGGGCTCCAAAGCAAGACATGCCCCCACACACTTGCATCCTCAGAATGCGTGCACACACGTGTGCACACACACGCACACACACAACTCTCTGTGGAAGATGGGGCCTGGGAGGGGCGAAAGGCTGGGTGACAACAGGTTAGAGAACGGAGGGCTTCTCCACTCACTCTACTACAGGGCCTGAGACACGTGTAGAAACACGCAGACATGTGCACACATCAGCACTAGAGGATGGGGTTAATGGGCATGGGCTTGAGTTCCAGCCCCGAGGGGATGGGGCTGCAGTTCAAGAGACCCTGGTGAGAGGAGAGAAGTCTGGACGTGGGGTTACTGAGATGGGTTTTGCCCCGATTAACAAATCTCCAGAAGCCTCAAGTTCCCATCAGTCAGATGGAGGCTCTTGGAATGTGTATAAAAATTCTAAGTACAAAGCCCAAGTTTCTTTGTGTATAGCTGCGTGGAAGTGCACTTGAGACATGTTAACGTACAGATGTCACACATCTGGTCACACACTTTTGCCTATGTGACAAGTTGGGAGTGAGACGCTAATTCACCAGGGAAGGTGCTGGCCTCTGAGCAGTGTGTCTACCCCAGAGTACTCTAGGCTCTGAGTGTGACTATGCCCAGGTGGGTCTAGGTGACCCTGACATCTTCTGTTATGGCTATAGCTTCAGGAGCCTAATACGTCCAATGCTGCCTGGAGGCCTGGCAGTGAGAGTCTTGGGTCCATGTCTAGCCATGTGGCCCTCTAGTGTATCAGGGGGCCCTACCAACTGCTTCTCCCCCAGCCCCCCAATATACTTCCAGCTTCTCTCCACTCCTATATCCCTCGCCACCCTTTCTCCCTCTTGCGGGGGAAGTCATAGATCCTAAGCCATAAAATAAATTTTATTCCAAAATAACAAAATAAATAATCTACTGTACACAATCTGAAAAGAAAGATGCTCTAACTGGTCAGATAGGTGCTGCACCCCAGCCCCTAGCTGGGGGAGCCCCTGAGTCAAACCCAGGTCTCCCAAGGGGGCTGGTGAAGGGATCCCACATCACCCCCCCCCACCTGGAGGGCAGGAGGAAAATAATTGCTGAGGACTCAGGGGGAGAGATGGGGATGGGTGGGCAAACTGCAGCACTTATTAAATTAAAAGGAACAAACTAGAAGCACGATATGGGGGAAGAAGGGAGAAGGAACAGGTCCAGTGTTTCCAGGCCCCCAGCTCTGGGGGGAAATGCTGCCATTTTTAGCTGCTGGACCTTCCCAGGGAAGTCCCCTTTCCCCCATGTCCAAACTGAGTCCAACTGCTCACACCATGGCGCAAGCCTAGAGAATGGGAGTGTGCTGTGTGAGGGAGGGAGAGCCCCAGAGCCTGGAGGCAGAGTCCTCGCCCCCTTGCTCTGGGCAAGGGTGAGGGGGCACCACGCACCGTCCTTGTGTCCTCTCGCAGGCCCCTGCTCGTTATTGCTTGAAGCCCCATAGTCCTACGCCCATGGAGCAGGTCGGGAGGCAGGAGAAGGGCAGCGAAAGGATCCAGGGTTGTGACTAGATTCTGGGACGGAGAACGTAAGGGTCTGTGTGAGTCCGAAGCCTGGGGCCATGGGTCTGGGGACACCAGTCTGCCCCTCACTGCCGGCTGGCCTCAGCCTCCACTTTCACGCTGCTTCTGCGGCCCTCCACCAGTGTCGGGTGGGATCCTGGGGAGGGACACCGGTCCAGCAGCCCTTCCTCGAACTCTGTAGGGAGAAGGGATAGGTTAGGAACCTGTGGGGGTGGAGGCTGCAGACAGAGGTGTGGGAGACGTAAGCAGGGACATGGCAGAGAAGGCCACGAAGAGGAGCTCGATATTGAATTACTGCCTCCTGCCCACTGTGTGTGCATGGCGGGGGGAGGGGCTCCCACACCCAAGCTGTTGTAGCCCCCTCCCTTTTCTAGCTGTGTGTAGCTGTCTCTGTATGTCTCTGTCTCTCCGCCTCCATTCTGCTGGAATTTCTGGTTCTGTCAGGAGCTGTGGGGGCGGTTTGGCTCTGACCTCTCCCCCTCCCTACCCTTCCCAGGCTCTGTCACCCCCATACTCATATCCCTGGCCTGTTCCCAGGCCCCACCCACCCT